AAAAAAAGAACTAAAGAGAACATACTTGAAGTGATTTCTCGCTAGCTACTCGCGCTGCTTCCTGTTTCGCACGTTCGCTAGCAATGTACTCCGCTCTGACCTCGTACTGCCTCTTCTGGTCGTCAGACAATTTTTTCCACTAAAATATTAGAACTCAAAGAACGGTTTCACTTTTACAACAAAACTGGCGAGATCTTAACATTTCCACTTGAACGTATCATTTGATGATGTTGATTGTCAATGATTTGAAATCAGACGATGCATCGATCAGATGGATGCGACTGTTTTTTTACAATTGTTCAGAATGTACTTATTGATAGCTTTGCCTTCACGATGAGAAGTTTCGTTAATTGAGTTTGATTGCACATCCTCCTTCCAATCAAGAATTAGTAAGATGTGTTCTTCTACTATTTCCATTCATTTTCTTCCAATTACTATCCGTTTTGCTGGGTCACTTTCTAAACTCTCACCTCAATTCCTACAATCTTTGACACTTCACCAAAACCGGAGTCCGGATTCTCGTGCATAATGCGTTTTCTTATTTCAGCTGAGAAGAGAATGTAACCAGACTTGCTCTTTGCAGTCAATTTCGGTTGAGCAGCAAGCCAAGTCGACATCATACCGGACTGAAAGAATGAATATCAGAATCATGAAAAAACTAGAATATTATAGAACACTATTATTTTGGATGTTCAATCAATCAAAACGCCTTAAGGGATGCAAACTAGTAAATCCCATGACCTGCGCATCAAGGTACTTAGGCGTGCATGCAAGCACGTCATTACAGTAATCAAAAAATTTCATCAAATTAGAGGCGGGCATACTCTTCCCTTTCAACGGCAACTCATATGTCGGAAAAATTTTTGTCGTTGCTTCAATGAATCGAAAAAATTATATATAAACCATCGTCACAATATCGCATTCTCAGAATTCTCAATTTCCCCGAAAAATTTTTAGAGAAAATTCCGACTATTACGCGCTAGAGTTCAGGGCACAGCATCGTTTAAGTCTAGTGTTTGAAAGTGCATATCAACCGACCTTACTGGCAGTTGACTCAGCTCCATCCGTGTCATTTTCATCCAGTTCCATGTCCAATTCTGAGGGACCAGTTGATCCATTACGAGCCAATGGTGACATTTCCTTAAGTGAAACAATTGCAGTCAAATTTTTAGTGATGATGACGCGCCACTGCAACTTTCAGCTGAGTGCTAAAGTCCAAAGAACAGAATTAGTGCCGATTTGTGGTTGAGTGCGCTTTAGACAGAGTTCCAGATTACAATGAACGAATTTCAAGCAGAATAAAACATCAATTTTCGATTCGGTACAACCTAGCGGTCTTACTCAGTCCCTAGCAATCTAAGAAATCTATAAGAATGTTAATAGATCTTAACGCTAAAAAAAATCACCAAATACCACAGCTGTATGATTTGACAACAGAAAAGCTGATGTTATGACAAAGGAGCTATAGTTATGTCAAAAACTTGAATTTGACATCGAGATTTGAATGTTATGTTTAGCACGCGTGGGCGAGTGTCGTCACAGTCAAACGCATCGTATCAAAGTTTCTGACAAATGCCGCAGGCTACTTCAAAAGCACAAGCTCACCTTCTCCATGACTATAGGCGTTTTGAAGATGAACAACTCAGCATCCGGCAGGTGCGCGCCCTTGTATTGCTGAAACACACGACATCGTAAACAAGCTGAGTACGACATTAACGCACGACAACAAGTGCGAAGAACTATAAATGAGGTCAAAGCATTGTGATAATGACAAAGAATGTTTTAGAGGGGTTTAGAAGCGCGAGAAAAACCCCTAGCCGGTGAAAATAGCCGGAACGGCGGGAAAGGCGCGGCCAGTGGCGCCGTCGGCAGAGTGCACC